ATCTCCCAAAGCATATTGTAAACCCACATCCTAGTTTGCATATAGTCACACAGCTAAAGAGCAGCAGTGGTGGCAGAAGGAGGTGCCAAAGGAGAGACAGAGGAGGAGGGCAGGTGTTACTGTACTCCTTGTACTTAATTCTCAATCTTCTCAAAAAACAAACAACAAAACCCCAAGCTAAAAACCTACAACAAAACAACTACAACAAAAACAACCCAAATAAGCAAACCCCCAACCAACCAATCCTTTTTTATAAATGTGTACAGGTAAGGTTTGTTTTTCTTGCTTTCTTCAAAGATGGTTCTATTGCAGGGTTACAGTCCCTCATAAAAGCTGATTGCCTAGTTCCTGCTCTACCTTTTGTGCCTCCTCTGCATTGTATTTGCCCTCTTCTGATGGCAAATGACAGACACTGTGTTTAGCATGATTTTTATGCAAGCACCATGCTGCTTGTCTTTTTTTATTTGTTCAGAGCTGCTTTGGCTCCTGTCCAGCCGCTCACCTGGTCTCGTAGTGCTGGTGCAAGCCTTGGGCTCCTGGATGGCTTTGGGGCTGGGAAATCTGTGTGCAGCTGCTGCCCGGGTGCTGCTCAGCGGGGGAGTTTGAGGAGCATTAAGCAAGATGTTTATGGGCCGATGGCTGCGAAGAACTCGAACAAGCAAGTGTGAGTAGCTGGAGCACGTCCGGTGCTGACTTGAAACTTCCTAAAAGTTTTGAAGTCTCAGACAATCGAAAGTCTGTTGTCACTCACTAACTGTTCTGGCAGGGTAGGATGCTGGAAGATGACATGCAGTTATAATTGCAAAAATACCTGGTTTTTGTATCAGTGGTGAGCAAGAGCTCTCAGTCCTATATTGTGTCCTGCTGGATACCAGGCAAGGCCATCTGCCAGGAAGGGTCCTGCTTCATTGGTTCATTTCCTTATGCAAGAAATACTTTGGGTTCCCCAGAGTGCCGAGCATCCTTGTATATCCATCTTTGTTTGGATATTGGTAGGTTCAGCCCCTCTAAACGCCTATCCAGCTGCCATTTTGGCACAGAGAGTGCACAAAAGCACTTGGGATGTTCTCTGCACCCACGTGTGGGCTGCATCAAACTGACTGAGCAGTTCAGGCTTTTTGCTGTACTTTGGTTATTACAGCTGTGTGGTGTGTTTAAAGGCAGAAGAGACAGGCTACGAGCGTGACATTGTGTTGAAGTGAACATTGGTGGCTTATCTGGCTGCTGGCATTTTGGTTTGTCACTGAAGGTAGCTGCACATCTGAGTCTAGGCTCCGTGGCTGTGGTTCAAACAGCACTGCCTTGCATGCTGATGGACTTTCATGGTGGATATATTATTATACTGCCTCTTTACTTAGGCTTCCCCTATATGATGAAGGCTTTTTGCACCATCTGAAAAGCTGCTTTTAAAATATAGCTTATCTCTGTGCTAGTGAGAAGCTTCTGCTAGGCTGTGCCTCTTGGCCACAGGCGCTGTTACTGCCCTGTATAATGCTTCCTTCATGCCCCAGGGTAGGGAAGGCTTGGGCAGTGTCAGCCACAAAACAGCTTTTGTTACAACCACGAGTGGAGTCTCTGCATCCATGCCTTGAGCTTCCTTGTTATCTGGAGTTGTGGTCAGTAGTAGTGATACGTCTTAGACTTTACTGAGTTGAATTAATCAACTCTTAGACCAGGAACTATGTGTTGGCCTCCTCTCCCAACTCCTCTACCCCTTTTACATGAAGTCTTTAAGTGCTGAAATAGCAGCTTCTTGACAAAGGAATACAGATGCATTTGAATAGCCTGTACATTGTATTTACCTTCATGTGTTAAGTCTATCCCTCTTTTACTCTTTCTGACTGCTCATAATTAACTTTACTTGGACCTGCTTCAGGAAGTAATCTCATAAACTTTAGAAAAACTAAGTATTATGCGTGTGTGAGCTCCGCTTAAATTACAGTAGTACCTCATAAATCAGCTAGGTACGAGGATTGTGTGTGGTGAGAGTGGAACAGCACTCATGAGGTGTCTGGATCCTGTTTTGGGACCTGCAGGACTCATGTGGCAGTGCAGATCCAAGCTCAGCTCCTGCTGTTGGCGTAGGATTCAGTTTCTCTCCATGACTGCATCTTGCTGCCTTCTTTCTGAATACCAGTGTTCTTGTGCAATCTTCGCTTGTTCACGTGTCTGAGCCAGTTCAGGTTAGTAATCCTCTCCCCAGTAATGTGTTCTTTCAGGGACATTTGCTCTGAGAGTTGCTTGGGTATAGTACTTTAAATATTCCTTGAACTAACTTTTTAACTCCCCACCCATATGAGGAGGTGAACAAGGGGAATGGGGGATGTGGCCTGACATTAGGAATAGTGATCACTGGCAAATGCCTGGAAAGAAATTGTGGGTGAAGCTATTATATATTTAGCTTCTCCACTTGTTTGGGCATCTTCCACATGCTGTATTTGGGGTCTCCTTCCCATCCTTTGTCCTGATGCTGCTGCTGGAGTGGTGGGGATTGCCCTACACCTCTTGATTTCTTCTGAGTGCAGTGATAACAGAGGAGCCCTGCACAATGTAATGGTCTCTTGTCCTCTCCTCCATGTCATTTGCTGGACCAAAGCTCACAGTGAGGAAGAGTTGGTAGCAGGAGTAATAGTGTCTTCTGGCCAGTGGGGCAGGCAGAGGACCTGAGAGTAGGACATGGGTGGTGAGGAAAGAACTTGCTTTAGACTCTCCAGCTGTGCTGTATCTTACAAGGCAGCTGGTGAAACAGGATGGTGTCTGCCACACCATCAGTGTGTCTCCACCTGAGGGATGAAACAATGGGATCCTACCTCCAGCCACCTATTCCCTAAAGCCTGCAGGAGAGGTGGAAAATGAGCATTAGCTCTGGGCCACTAAAGCAACTTTTTCAGGGGTTTTCCTGAGAATCCCAGCATGCTCCAGTTACTGTTCAAATGGCACTATTGAAGCTGAATGGACTGCTTGCCTACGTAGAAGGATGGGAATGTGGGTTAGGGCTTAGCCTTTAGCCCAGACTCTAGGCTGGGGATGTTGGTTTGGATGAGACTTCAAACATCTTCAGCTTGGAGACCGTTGTCTTGTTTGTTTTCTTAAGTGGATTAAGAAGACTTTTCAGACCCCGTTGAGGCCATGTGGTGCAGTTGGCAGTTGAGCGCAGATTTTTGTCCTTGCTTCTTCTTTCTCCCCTGATCCCCCGTTGTAACAATTTTGAGAGTACAGATCCTTAAGGCAAAACTGTGTGCTCTGTGTCCTGTAAACAGCAGAAACAGCTGAAGACAAGCACACTTTCAAGGGAAGAGGAAATACTCTACATTTTGTAGACATTTCAAGGATTTCTGGGAAAATGAGTTACTAGCGGAATGTGAAGAACAGGAGTCTGGATGTTTAGAGGGGCTCAGACAGTTGTAGCCTAGTCTGGGTGCCTTGTGCCCATAGAGTACAGAATAGGGCACTGAAATGGCCCTGGCTGAGTACCACCCTATGGGCAGGTATGTCACAGACATTTGAATTCCAGCACTCAAAATGTAGGCATTGGAGCCCTTTGCTGTGTCTGATCCAAAGCCTGAGTGACAGCATGTTTTTCTTTGTTTTAAACCTTCGCTAGATCACTGTGAAAGAGCACAGAAAAGACAAATAGCCTCTCTTTTATTTTTTTTATTTTATGTTATTTTTCTGTTTAAATAACATTATTGGGATGGTGACATTCAGCATTTATTTTGGCTAGTGTAGCTCTTTCTAGTAACTTCAGGGTAGCTCTCCCCCCTCCTGGGTTTTTTTTGGCTTGCAGTTAACAAAGTGCAATTGAGTCTGAACACTTGGCTCCTCTCAGTGCGGAGCATGACTTCAAGTGTCCTGGTACAACAGCAACGTGCGCTTTTGCGGGCGAGGTGGGGGGGGATGTATCACTGCATTCCTCCTCTTTCCGCCTTTTTCTTTCGGAGGAGCCACCTGTTAGCATTACATCAGCGGCTCCCAGGAACGCCACTGCCTCCTACCAAAGGCCTCGCACAAAGTAGTAGTTCTTGTATTGTTTGCACTCAAAGAGCTGATGTCATGCCAGCTGATGTCATTGTGTGCTTTGTGTAATTGCTATGGAAACCAGGCAGGTGGGGAGCCTGGGGCTGATGTCATTCCCGAATGAGGTGTAGAAAGAAGGTTCCCTTTGCTTGCTCCAGCTCTGCAAAGCTGCCCTCCTCAAAAAAAAAAAAAAAAAAAGAAAAATGGAGGGGGAGGGAGATGGTGCTTGAAAAAGCCAGCAAGGCATGCAATAGAGTCAGAGGAGGCATGAGTTGAAAAAGTGACTTCTCCCTCCCCCCTCAGATTCATTTTCCAATCCATATTAATGTCCTAAAAATAGCTCTTGCTAGATATTTTCATGCAGCCGGGGCAGCAAAAGGAGAGCTGTTTGCCACATGTTAAGCAAGCACCTCAGCCTCTGTTAGGTTACAAGGAGTGGTTTTCTTTTGTTCGAGTGCACAAATGTGTACGTACTGTTCCCTGGAGCGATGCCGGGGTGAGCTGCACCCATCCTCAGAGGTGTTGGATGGGGGGATGCCCTGCAGGGTTTGCTCCCACAGGCAAATCTGCTGTGGACAGGTAAAGCTAAGACTGTCCCAGCTGGCTTGCTCCTCTGCTTTAGTGTGCTAATAGGCCATTTGCCCCTAGTTTTGGTGATGTTCTCCTTGAAAAAATACCTTCCTTCTCTCACAGGCTGGTAGGTGAGGCAGCCGCAGCACACTGATGTTGCACAGAGGCGTGTTTGTCTGTGAGCCTGTTCCTTGGCACCGTGTGCCTCGCAGAGGGGAGGACAATGCCTGCTGCTGATTTGTGCTACCCTTGCTGCTGACGGCACAGCATTGGTCACTGTGACAGTGGTAGTGGGGACAGTAGAGCCAGCTCCAGTCCTGGTGGTCCCAGCATGTGCTCTGAAGAAAGGTGGATCCAAAGCGTTGCCACCTTGGGGTATCTAACCAAAATATCTGCTTGGTCTCTCTTCCCAGGAGGACTCAGCGGTTTCAAGCAGAACCACGAAAACCTCTGCGATAACTCCCTCCAGCTGCAAGAGTGCCCGGAGGGGGGAGGAGGGGGCGGTGCCTCCGCTGTGCCCCCCATGCTACCTCAGTCCATCCCCACCACGCCAGACATCGAGAACGCTGAGCTCACCCCCATCCTGCCCTTCCTCTTCCTCGGAAATGAGCATGATGCTCAGGACTTGGAGAAAATGCAGAGGATGAACATAGGCTACGTAATTAATGTGACCACCCACCTGCCCCTGTACCATTACGAGAAAGGCATGTTCAACTACAAGCGGCTCCCGGCCACTGACAGCAACAAGCAGAATCTCAGGCAGTATTTTGAAGAGGCTTTTGAGTTCATCGGTAATTACCCTTGACTGGAAATACTCCTGTTTGTTTTGGGGTTTTTTTATTTTTACCTGTTGTAAGAATTTAGAGTGAATTTTATGCTTCTCCAACTACTCCGAAGGCTGAATAAGGCCATATTTACTTTTGTTTAGGTTGTCAGAAATGCTGAGCAACTCATATGTCTTTTCTTTCTCATCTCTGGTGTATCCAGTTAAGTAGCCTCGGGTTACAATTTTTATGCATTGATACTGACTCCTACCTCCAGGCTTTAAATTCAGGAAACCCGAGAAAATTGAGACTTTTGTCATCCCCTATTCTTGATTCCTTTGCATTCCCAGTTTCCACAGTGCCTTACAGCCAATTTTTCATAGTAACTATTCTCAATGATGGCTCAGTCTTTCCTAACTTAATGAGAAAACTGTCTGACAAACTTTCACACTTTGCTTGTTCCACAATTAGATTTATAGCTTCAAAGTGTATGTGTGGTTGAGTGGATAGTGATGGAAACTTGCATTAATAAGCTCCTAAATCCTGTAGGCTGTGTGAGAGAGTTCACCAGAGACATGCAGCTTGTTGCAGAAGTTGCTGAGGAAATGACCCAGCAACATTGCCCACGTTATTCTGAACCTTGCTAGATCAACCCAGGACAGCCTTCAGCCAAGTTTAGGGCCACACTCAGCTCTGGTTGGTCAGCTAGGCTAAAGCCAGATGGCCACTTTAAGCGAGGGCTTCAGGATGTGATACCAAAAGCTTTTGAGGACCACATCTTGCCCCTCTTTGTGGACACCGCTTTTGTGGCATAGTGAATGTCCACCTGTGCTGCTCCAGCAGAAGTATGTGCCCTGAGAGGTTTTCTGAAATATGCTGGTGGGACCACTGATATATAATTTTACTTTTTTTTGCTGAGGCTGGGCTAATCTCTTTGTCAGTACTTCAGGCTTGACAGTGGAGGACTAGACAAGGGAAGTGTGTTTCTGTGCTGCATCACAGCTAGACCCCTGACTGACCCCATACTGAAGTGGATGCAGAGCCGTGTTCCTCCCTGCCCTCAGACCATCAGTGTTTATGGTCTTTGAGTCAGGGGGTGGGTTCATGGCTCTTGAAACTCAAGCCTGTTTGTGCTGGCTCTGTGGAGGTGCTCCCAGGCTCATCAAGGATTGGGGCCCAGTTGTGGGACTGGGTCCCAGGACTGGAGGTCCAAACTCAGCATGTTTTCCTGAGCCCTTCTGCCCCTGCTGTGTGCCTGGGCAGGGCAGACAGCTCTGAAGCAGATGGCTCGTGAGCCTCCCCTGGCCGTGTTTGGGTTGGCAGGGGACCGTGGTGTGCTGACGTGTGTGGCCTGTAGCTGTGCTACTTTAGTGAAGGTGAACAGAGAAATCACTGATTATGCTGCAGTTCAGATGGAGAGCAGCATTAAAGCCTGAGTCTTACCACTGGGAGCTTCTAGTGGGAGCCCTTGTCCTCTACAATGTGAAGGACCAAAGAACCTCTCTTTAAAACCAAATTTTCCCCAGTGTTCCTAACCCAGCCCCAGCTCTATCAGTAGTGCTGCCAGCTCCCCAAGCTGCTGACTATGATGTGCATGGGAAGGTGGACACCCTGTTTTGGGTGAGGAGTAGGGGAGAGGGAACCTAGCTTTGATCCTCTGGGAAAAAAGCTGTGCCAAGAAATCCCATAAAACCTTAAATTTTGAGTTCAACAAGATGGGGAGATGCAGTAGGCTAAGCTTACGTAAAGAGACTGCAAAGCTCTACTGAGGTCCTTTGGGAGTAAGATGGAGATTTCTGCACCCAGCATTCCTATGAGCTGAAGGATTAGAGCTCTCAAAGCCACTGAAAGATAGTGTTTGGTTTGTGACCTTACCAAGGGCAGAGAAAGCAGCTTTGCTCTGAAAAGGTTTAGAAAGTATTTCAAAACCCATTTTACTTTCCTTTTTAATAATTACGGCTTGGGGGTCTGTCTTCGTTTTTAATAAACAAATATTTCTCCACTGAGAGTTTTTCTCCATAGCAAATTTAGCCAGCTGGGGAAATAACTAGTCAAAGCTTTCCCTTCCTCTGGGTAAACTTTAAATTGCATTTGAGAAGATTTGGAAATGTTTAAACAGCAGATTGTTGGCCTATGTTTCTTTAAATATGTCTTAAAAAAACCACAACCGACCCCAGGTTTAGCTAAGACTAAAGCCATAGGAAGTGAAATCATCAGAAACTCTCTGTGAAAGTGTGTCAAAATACATTAGAGAGTTTCAGCTTTCTGAAATACTAACTGCCAAAAATGTCTAGAGGGAAGTTGGCTTCATTTATGCTTTCACAGTACAGGTTGAACATGTGGGGTGGGATGAACTGTACTTTTGGTGGGGTTGGATTGATGCCAAAACTTGCAAACCAAATTCACACTCGTCCTGTGGATTAAAACAAAAGAAGTAGATTGAAGGGTCACATCTTGAAAGTTTTATCTCCTGTTTTAAAAGCAAGCTATGGGAGATGAGGGTGGTATGGTAGTGACTCCTCTTTCTCATGTCCTGTTAAGTGGTGGTTACAAGGACTCTGTCCTTCCTAGATCATGCCCGGGTTGCCTCCGTCTAAGTGGTGTATCTCGGTGGAGAGCGTGTGTCTGTGTGTTATCCAGCTCCTGCTTTTGTGGAGGCAACACAGCAGAGTGCCCCATTGAAGCTCATTTCAAGAGTAGCTTTGTAAAATCTTCCAAGAACAGGGCTTTGAAACAGATATATTGTTATGAACTGAATCTGAAAATACCTGTTTGTTAAAAAGGTGGTGCCCTACTTTGAAAGACAGGGAGGTTGAGATGCCAATGTAATGCAGCGGCAGAGGTGGAAATGGAGCCTGATGCTTCATCATGGGCCTCGACCTCCCAAATAAATGCTCCCTGGCACCGGCGTGAGCAGTGCAGCAGCAGCTCTCGCTGTGTGGTTCATCTAATAAAGAGATAAGGATTTGGACATGAGGATTTTCAGTGTCAGAGTGGACTGGCAGTTTCACGTGCAGTAACTCTAAAACGTTGGAGGAAGATGGGCTGGAGGGAGGGGGGAGGAAATGCTGCTGTGCTTGTAATCAAATCAAGGGACTTTTCACATTAAGTTACTCTTAATTGCACTGAGCTTGTTCTAATTTATGAACTGGCAAAAATCTTACTTTCTTCTGTCTTTCTTGTTTCTAGAGGAAGCTCATCAGTGTGGGAAAGGTCTCCTCATCCACTGCCAAGCTGGTGTCTCCCGATCTGCCACCATAGTTATCGCTTACTTAATGAAGCACACACGCATGACCATGACGGATGCCTATAAATTTGTAAAAGGCAAACGACCAATCATTTCCCCTAACCTTAACTTTATGGGGCAGTTACTGGAGTTCGAAGAAGATCTAAACAACGGCGTCACACCACGAATCCTCACACCAAAGTTGATCGGCGTAGAGACTGTCGTGTGACGGCAAAGCTGTGAGGTGGCGGTCAATGAAGGGGTTAACCTATTCTTCACCTGATTCGGGGCAGTGATGGGTGGCTTGTGGGTTTTTCTTTTTAGCTTTCAAGGGGAGTTTTGTGGCGAACTTTTTGTGAATAAAAACCTTTTTTGTAAGGAAAGGTTTTTAAAAGATCCAAGAACTTTGCTGGGTTTGGGATGCTGTTGTGATTTCCTTCTCAGACACCGGCAGAGCAGGGAGGCTTCAGAGCAAACGGAGTACTTTTTAAAATCAAAACAAGAAGAAGAAGAAGAAGAAGAAGAAGAAATATTGGGCTTTTTTTCTTTTAATTTTTATTTTTCCCACCTCTCCAGCTACTTGTAGAGTTTATGGCTAAGTAGTCTGTGCAGGTTCATAGACTGAAGAAACCTAAGTTGAAGACAAAACACAAACAGCCAAAACAAAGCAGAAAAAACCCTCCCTGAAACATAAGGGCCTTCATTCTGCAAAGGCTTTGCTAAAGATAACCTAGCAAAATGCTCACCAATGCAAAGGAAATCAGAGCAGCTTAAAAAGTCTGCAAGGCACTTTTCACACTCCTGACTCAAACTAAAGAAGAAAAAAAGTTTATTTGGCGTGTTTCATGTTCCAGTTCTATTTTTCTATTTTGGGGTGTAAGGTTTTAACAGTAAGGGACTTCGATCATTCTATGCCATATGCCTTCACTGGCTTCTTGTGCAATAATAATTTGGGCTTTGATTTGAGTGTTCAAACCAATTAGAGTTGGCTGCCCACTAATAATAATTTTTAGTCTAATAGTGCAACAGCAGCCAGCTTGGTTCAGAAAGGATAAATGAGAGCAATTATTTCGTTCCTTTATATGATTTTGATCCTGGTTACAGTGCCATAAACCTTGTTACATATGTATATCAGAATGTACAAAAATCGAGAAGTTTATTTAAAAATATTTTTCGCACAAAATATTGGTGTGTTCAGTTGTCTATGTAAAAAAATTTGATTATAAAAGAAAAAATCTTTTGGAAAATGTGTGTCCTTTTATTTCTTTAGCAATTTTCCATTTTCTATGGGGTGGGGTTTTTGTTTTGTTCCTTTTGGTTTATTTTTTGTGGCATTGTACATCTCCTTTGACAAAATTGGTATCTCTTGTTTGGCATCTCCTCTTTAGTGTTTCGTTCCTGTCCTCTGCTGGTGGAACATGTTTTCTTTACTTTTTACTGTACTCTTGCATCTTTCGATTTCTGTAACCGGATTTTTCTCTTCTGTTTGGCTGAATTGGCACTATTGGTGAGGGCTCTTTGGGACAGACCTGTTATTTCTACAGCTCAGTAGCCATTTGGAAAAATAAGAAATAAACATTCTCCACTGATTCCTTTCCATATTCCTGTAATTAGCTTATCTTCTATGTTAAAAAATTGTCTGGTTTCTAGAAATGTTGGTCACGTGTGTGCTTTTCCCCTGCCTCTCTATAGCCCCCTCGTTTAGCAGTTCCACAATTCCTAGGAATCCTCTTCCTGGAATTTTTCCCTCCTTCTTGCCCATCGTCCCTTCATCCCCCTGCTTTTCCAGCTGTGTCAGTGTTGTGTGGTGTGTATTGTAGGCTGCTGTTTCTGCCTGACAGTGTCCCTTGGGTGGCTGACTTTTGCTTTCTTTGTTTGTATTTACTTTTTTTAAAAATTTTTAATGATACGGTATAACCTGATCTCTTCTGGACTGTTACGAACTCCAAAGTTTATTTGTACGAGCCTAAAATGAGTTAGAAAACATTTATCATATGATTCTGTTGTGCAAACTGATCTATCCCAGGAAGTCTGCTAGCAGTAAGGCTTTTCCTAGATGGACTGAACCAAGTGTGAAACAGGACCTGTTGGAAAACTTAATGTATAATCACAGTAGACATGTATATTTTTGTGGACATTTTACTTAAAATGTTGTTACTATACAGATATTTTCTTGAAACTTATCCCTTTATTAAATTATTTTTCTACTGGAGTTGATTTTTTAAAATTTTTTTTTTCTTTTATATGATCATTATTGGTCTTTTGGCTAAAAACGCCCTCAGGAGCAAAACCTCGTGGACTGTGACCACTCCTGGGGCTAAGGAGAGAGTGGCTGGACAGAGAAGGTACCGTTGCTGGTTGGGAGCCTTTTGCTTTGGGAAAGAAGGAGGTTCCTTAGCAAAGATGCTCTGCTCCCTTCCTTCCCCACTTTCCTTGTGTTTGGGCCCAACCTCTTCCAGCTGTTCTCCATGAACTGCAGGTGCCAGTTGTTTGATAGGCGGGAGGAGGTTAGTAAACCTCTTTGTCTCTTGTCAGAGAAGCAAAAGCAGCTGCAGTAGGGCCGAGGGCTGGCTCAAAAGTTGGCCCTTGCAGCCTGTGTTTGTGGCCATAAATGCGGTGTAATAGTGCCAATTCTCTGCTGGGGAAACAGGTTATTCAGCAAGGGGAGCATGCGAGCTGCCTGCCTGGGACTCAGCATGAAGGGAAGGAGGACTTGATTCAAAATCGATCTTCCATGTTACTGCTTCCCTTGTTCCTGTTCTAAATGGCCTGTTATGAACATCTCGAGAGGGAGGAAGGGTATGCTGCACCAACATGACTCATAGCATCCTCTCTGGTTCAGCCTTGCCCACCACATGCTCCCATGGTTTAGGATGAAGTTTGCAGCCATGTAAGTACTTGTGTTTAGTTTTTACTTAAGCCAGTGAGCAGGCCTCGCAGCCTTGAGTAAACTACTGGCAGCAGGGGATCCAAAGTGTTTGCCTCAGTAAGGCTGAGCAGTGCAGCTGCTGCTGTATGCATGGATGTGGAGTTGGAGTTTGTGCTGCAGGAATCCTGTCAGCCTGTGTGCTTGTCTCGGTGAGAAGCAGTGCCTGATTTTGTTCTCCAGTGTGATGATCTTGGAAATGATGGGGCAGGACAATGCAAGGCTGTGAGTGAGCGGAGTTTGCTATGGGTCTGTTGATAGCAGAGACAGGCTGATCAAAACCCTCCTTTGTGCAGACCCATTCCCTTTTCAGGGGCTGGAGCTCCCTCATTTCTGGGAGAGAGCAAGGCTGAAGGGGTGGGGGCCACAGTTGTGAGGGGGTTTAAGCAGACGCTGGTGTTACTTTGGCACAGGAACATCCAGAAAGGTTATTTCTGACTTTGAGATCAGAATTGAGGCTTGATCACCCATCCCCTGCTCTTACTGCTGCCTGCAACACCCCCCTCAGCTGCTCCAAGATGAGGCACGGCTAAAAAGAAATGGGAAAATCATTGAGTAGCCTTTGTTGTGCACGTGGGTGTTGGTGAGGACAGGACCTGCTTTTCCCTGCTTAGCGTCAGCATTGTGCGCTTGTGTGTGAAGTGCGCTAAAATAGACACGGTCCTGGAAAATTGGTTCCTTTGTAACTTATTTTCCATTTCTCTCCTGAGTGCTTGTTTCTGGGAATATTGCCCTCGAGATCCAGTTCCTGTGAGTGGGTCCCTGAGATCCAACTTGCAAAGCAAGGCAGTGGGAGCAAGTGCTGCTTCTGGTTGTGAATTTACTTTCTCTTTACGAATGGTGACCTATCAGCGTGTGAGACTGTTAAGACCTGTTGTGAAGCTCTATTAAGGCAAAACATGTTCAATTTAACCAACTTGAAAACTATTCCAATTTTAAGGGTTTGGCTTTCAAAGTCAGGAGGTTGTTTAACTTTCTGTGCTAAGCAGCTCATATGCTTTATTCTTCTTGGTCACACCAGGGCTAACAGAATCCCCCTTTTTGTCTTGGCAGACGATTTTCTGAGGCTTCCGTGGCTTTACATTTCACAAATGTGTCAACATCTTTTGGGGAAAGACGCATGAAAGGTCCCTCCCCTACACACTTGACAGATACAGGCTAGGATTGTTCCGAGCTGAAACAATCCTGTGGGAAGCACATTGGTACCTTATGGTCAGAAGATCTGCCAAGGACTCACTGTAGGGAGGTGTGTTCAAAAGCACAGGCAGCAGCTGAAGAGAGTGAGTTGGGAGCCACAAGGGCTGTGGGAAAGGGCCAAGCAAATGAGGGAGTGTTTTGGCCTCCAGTCCTGCTTAGCCGTGGTGAAGCTGGCTCTTGGTGCGTGTACTACCAGCAGCAGGAAAACCTCTGGGAATTGAAGATGCTGATTCAGTAGGGGAGACAAAAATAAAGCATACTATCTCTTGACTGAGTTTAGGAGGTAATCAAAGAGAGGGAATGAGATGGCTGTCTCATTAGCAGGTATCTGCTTTCCTGTGGCCTGTTTGCCTGCTGTTCCTGTAGGTATCACAGAGGAGGTTACTGATGAGCCAGTTTCAAGTGGTTTGAGGGCAGCTTGAGATCGGTAACCAATAATTGGTGCCATTTTTTTTGCTCCACAAGAGTGCAGCTGTTGGCAACAAAGTTCAAGCCCTGCCATGTTCCCCGGAGTGGTCCTGGGTGCTGCCAGCCCCTGTCGTCTTCTCACTGCTGGATGCAGTATTAATGCCTCTGCTCAGTCCAGTGCTCCTTTTGCTGAGGGGTTTCTTTCCTCTGCTATCTCTACTCCTTCTGTTGGGTCCTTGTCCCAGTGGAGCATGAGCTGGAGGAGCGGGTTCCTTTCTTGTCTTGCTTTAGCTGTCTTCTGCACTTTTTCCAGTCGTTCCTCAGACTGGAGGAAAGCAACTTAAAGTCAGTTATTTTTAAGGCATATTGCAGCAGGATGAATATTTCCAATGACTCTGGGCTCATGGTTTGATTTGGTTGTTATCCGGGCAGCATCTTTCCTAGGGAGCCCAGAGCCCAAGACCTCTTGCAACAATTCCATCTTGCAACTGCCTCATTACTAGGAACAAGAGACACTGTTGAGATGGCAAAATTGCATATTGCAATCCCTTGCTGAGCACCACGTCAGTCTCTAGTTGGTGCTGCCCAGGTGTGCCGTGAGCCGTAGCAGAACTTACCGAATGTGCAGCCAGAAATCCTGCTATTTACTCAGTGACTGATGTGCTTTTTGCATCTTTATGTATCCTGGAGTATGTAGAGATGCAGTCCCTGGCTTTGGAAACAGTCTGAGGTCCTGTTGAATTTGGCTGGATCCAGTCTGGCTTAAATCCTCCACCATGAGATGCCCATCTGTTCAGTGTCTTCCCAGGCTGAGATATGAGTTTGTCAGATTGAGCAGAGAGCCTCTGAGCTCCTGCCTCAGGGCTAAGTTCATTTTAGTGATGAGGAAAAATAACCTAAAGGTTTATTCCTGAGGATAAGAATGGCTGCATCTTGGAGGGGAAGAGTTCAGTGCAGTCCAGAAATACTTAAAAAAAATTCTTAACGTGAATCAGGGAGTAAAGTTAAAAATGTAACAAACTATTTCTGATGGATAGAACCACTGAACCAGAGGTTAAATATAATTTGACTCATATGCCTTGTCTTCACACTTCTGTAACTTAGCTTTTTTGATTGTCTATATATAAGAGGTGACATTGGAGAGCATGGATTTATCATGAAGATTTATTTGTCATGGAGAGATGAAGGAGCTGTCTGGCACTTGTGGGTTTCATATCAAGTTGCACTTCTGGCAGACACCAGTGGAGCTTTAAAGAAGATCACATTGTAGAGCAGAGTAGTAAGTTGCTATAAGGATGGGCAAAGGTTTATCTGTGATGCAGGGGCTCTGAATAGAGAGCTGCTGGATTGTAATATCTCTCTCTGGTCCAGGACACATGCAGGTACAAAATGTCTAGTCAGAGGCATAGACAGCGGCTTCCCCAAGAGCATGTTCAGGTCATTTGTTAAAATTCATTGGGGTGATGGAAGGGGATGCTGGTCTGAAAAACTATTAGATATTGGCAGCTGGCTGAGGAACTTGCCTGGAGCCATTCACGTTTTCAGAGGTCTGAACAAGATTTGACAGTCCTGAACCAAGCTTTGCCCTACTAGCATCCATTTGAAAGTTCTTTTCAAGGCATCCAGCTTTGACACAGTGTTGTGCATCTGCCTTGAAATGCTTTACTCTATCTTTTAACACCTCAACACTTGAGACCAAACTTATGCAGTTACTGA